GATCGTTAAAAACCTGATGAACATCGATGATGACATTTGGTCTACATGTTGACTAATCATCTGTACAAACATACATGACTTTCAAGACAGACGGGGGTAGATTGATGGGCCTACCTCCAGAATACAGCACCACAGATTTTACAAATTACATCACAATAGCTTATGATGTAATTTGTGAAACTTGCCAACCAAAACCAATGCTCTGTGACGTCAGTCAGACTGTTGCCGGGTTATTGACTGTGCCTAAACTTCTCTCAGTGTTTTGTCGTCTCTGTAACGCATTGTCACTGAGTAAGACAAGCGCTGGACGGAGTTTGTGTACTAGAAATAGACGGCTGCGGCGCATTTTATAGCAAGCGGCAGTTTATAAAAGCACTTTTATTTTAAATATTTTTATGCTTCTGTCTCAACGTTATATTTAGGACGAAATGAATTATGTATGGGAACTAATATACATATATATACACAATGAACTCAGTTAAGCACCCCCTGACAAATCTCATGATTGAATGAGGCCCGATCTTAATCTTTGGGGCATATCTGGGACATGACTGGTCGCCGTGTGCAACTAAAGGATCCTCCTGTACAGAACCTGGCCAAATTGGAAGCTGCTGTACACGAGGAATAGCGCAGACTGCCCCTTCAGAGGATCAGGAGGCTGACAGAGGTATGTGGAGGAGAGTGCTGGCTGTCTTATAGTCACATGGAGGTTACACTCAGTATTCACCTTGAATCATGTAAGACACGCAAAATGACATTTTGAATGTTCACATTCACCAATAAATTCAACATTAAACATTCCAGTACCATACTTGTACAGACATGGTTTTGTATGAAAATCAGTGTTGTTGTGTTTTTAAAATGAGCAATGATAGTCATAAATTGTTGAAAACCTATAATTGCAAACATACAGGGGATGCTTAATTAAGTTCTGTGTGTATATTGTTTTCAGTCAGTAATTTGCATCATTGGAGGAGGTTATTTAGATGGTATGCTTGATGTGGTTGGCTCCACGATATTGAAATATTGCAAAAGACAATTATATACCTACTGATTGAGTGCATAGACTATTTGGTTTTACAAGTTGACTGTCGTCTGTACAAAAATACATGTCTTGTCAAGACAGTCGAGGGTAGACTGGTGTCATGATGGCAACAATTATCCTTTCTTGATGTGTTTATATATTCTAGAATATACATAACCACTAAAACAGTAAAGAACACATTAACAATGTTTGGCGGAAATTCAGTCTGAAAAGAATTATTAGTTTCATGTAAAAGATAAGCAAAATGTGTGATGATTTTTTGGTCATAATTATCAGCTTTTTCATTTCCAAACATGCCTGCTTTGGAGTTCTAACAGTTCCAAATAAGTACGTTAGGTTAAAATGTCCTTGACGAAAGGTCACTCAGAACTCTGGTTGACTTAATTTAATGCATACAAAGTCACCCTTCACTGACCTCACTCACCCACCTTATTCACTCACTCACCCACTACCTCCCTCCCTTCCTTACTACTTCCCTCACTCACTCTCTCTCACTCACACACCTTACCCACTCATCCACTACCTCCCTCCCCTAGTTATTAATTGAGTCACTCTCTCACTCACTCACCTGATCCGCTCACTCACACAATACCACCCCCCCTTATTAATTCACTCACACTCTCTCACCCACCCACTCACTCACCTTACCCACTCACCCACCTTATCCACGCACTCACCCACTATCTCCCTCCCTTCGTTACTAATTCACTCACTCACTCACACTCACACACCAACTTACGTGATCTAACTACCATGACTTCCACTTCACAAACAGTGAGAAGGTCGTGGATTCAGTCGCTGGCTTGCTAATTTGTACGTAACGTCCCAGCGTGAGATCAGCACAAGTCACGGTGACGTTGGCACCATCGGCAGCTGCCCCCGGATATTGTCCGCAAACAGTGGGCGTGGCACTCGTCTCCTTCATCACTGTAATAGTGACGTCATGTAGACGGTTACCTGTAACACACTTAGATGATAAGAAAGGGAAAACAGTACAAATGTTTATCTGCAATGAGAAAAATATTTAATACATATATATCACCTTAACGTCCAGTAGTCAGGTACGTGGAACACATTATGTAGCGACATGAGACACAAAAGAGTGACTCCCTGTAGGAAGTGGCGTGTTCGAACATTTGAGAAACAACTTGGTACACCCCCTGTCTGTGAACACTGGAAAATCATTGTGTGAATTGGGGATTCGACCGAGAAGACCAGTTGCCGCCCCTGTTTTGAGAGATTTCCATCGGCGGTGGCGTCGTAGAGTCCGGAACTGGCACCTTAGAAACTGGGGGCGAGTCTGGCTCAGTGATGAATCACGATTTCTTCTTCCCCGGTGAGATGGAAGACAACGTGTTTACCGTCGGAGAAATGAACGTTTTACCCCTAATTGCATTCGACAAGTCGACAGATTCGGTGGAGACAGTGCCATGGTATCCAGCACACAAAGACCTGATTTAGTGGTGGTTCGGGGGAACTTGACAGCAAATAGGTACATCAACGAAGTCCTTGCACGTCCCATGCTTCCGATTATGGACCGACAGAGGGAGTTGTTCCAGCATGACAATGCTACTTAACATACAGCACGCGTCACGGTCCGCTACCTTGCCAATTCTAACGTCAGTGTCTTGCCATGGCCCTTCCGATCACCAGATCTAAACCCGATGGAACACCTATGGCATGAACTCGATGGACGTGTACGTCAACGTTAAAACACTTCTCAAACACTTCCACAACTGGCCATCGCATTGCAGGATGAGTGGGGAAAAATCCACAAGAGCGACTTCGTCGACTTATCCAGACGGTGCCGAGCAGTAATTGCTGCCAATGCTGGCCATACAAAGTATTCGCTCTGACGAGGACTTGTAGACTCAAGAAAACACAAACACAACACAAAGACTTCTATTTATCTATAGATGTGCGAATTTTCAGCTTTTTACCATTGAAATTACATGAATTAATTGCTCTTAAATTAACGCAATCAATTCTTCTAAAATGGCTTATGCGTTTCGTTTTTCAGAGAGTATTTGCACAAAATATGGTTTGTGGTTATGTTACCACGTTGCTTAACTTCAACTGATTTATGACCTGAGCTCTAGTGCACAGGACCACACATCACCAGTAGTGTATAATAGTAATAATGTTGCAAGAAGGACGTTAATAGTAACAATACAACGAGTGAGTGAACACAGTTTAGCTTGTTTAGCGGAAAACCTCACTAATTATACACAAATGCTCACTAAAACGCGAGTAGAGCTTAGAATCAAACAAAATACAAAGTCAAATTACCAAAGTAAAGTCGGTTTGTAATTCTAACAGAAGTCACGTGATACTCCCGGCCAAGATCCACACTCCACCATGGTGCCAGATCGTCGTTCGTTGTAGATGCGCATGACTTGTTTCGGAATATGGGGTCATAGTTGCCATCTACCGCCTTATCCGCTGAAGTATACTCAGCGTAGACTGAGCTCTGATTGGCTGGTTTATAGCGAGCCGCATTGAATGTTGAAAAGGAGAACCCTGAAAACATATTAACAAAAGATAGGACAGGAACGACAGGAACGTTATGTGGCGTAAACTTTGGTTTGTTTTAAACGCCTCCCTGAGCAATATTCCAACTATATGGCGGCGGCCAGTAGACAATGAAGCCTTGACCAGACAATTCAGTGATCAACAGCATGTGCATCGATGGGATTGTGTCAACCAAGTCAGCGAGCCTGGCAACACTATCCAGTTAGACGCCTTACGACAAGCATGAGCTGTTTAAGATTAATCAACTCCCATGTCCACAGATGGTCCAAATATGCGCTATCCAGTTAGACACCTCTTACGACAAACATGGGTTTCTGAAGATCATTCACAGGTACACTTTGGTTTTAATGGCATGGATATTACTGGAATATTGCTAAATGCTGCGTACAACCTTACTCACTCTTACGACAAGCATGGGTTTCTGAAGATCATTTCTAAACCGGATCTTCACAGGTACACTTTGGTATTAATGGCCCTGATATTACTGGAATATTGCTAAAAGCGGCGTACAACCTAACTCACTCACTAATAATCCTGAAGAGGACCATGGAATGTGAAAAACAACAACTTAAAGAGGAGTTTATGACAAGCATTTCGTCAACATGGTTTTAAAGATTCCTTCTGGCAGACACATATTTTCTAATGGTTTCTTAACGTATGGTCTGGTAACTATTACAGAATGTTAGCTGCTCACCACAAGTCATTGTACATTGTGCTAGAGGGACTGAGTTGGATGTCACACCGCGTTTAACAATATTCCTTCATTTTCAAGATGGGGGGCAGCAGAAATGGGCTTCACATAATGTCGAGAGTGGTTTCTGCACACAGTTATTTCGACCCCTACAGATCCGAACCCCGGGGTACAGTAGGGTTTGTTTGTGTTTATGTTATTTATTGCCGGTTGGCAGTGGCCTGCTACATTTAGACTTGTGCCGGATTTAGACAAAAAGATCGGAAATATATGAATATATGGATATTCCGAGGCTCTTATTCTTCAAGGGTGGATTACTGAGAGGTGGCTATTACCATCATTGTCTTTATAACTATTATTACTGCTCTTTTATTATTTTATTTTTATATTGCCACACAATGTTGCACTGCCATACTGATACCTTTGTATTGCACCACAGCTAGTTCTTTCACGGATTTCCGGTTAACCTTTAAGTTTCAGGCTGAGAATCAACACATAAGAAAAACATTTAAAAAATAACTTGGGGACCTACAGACCCAGTGATCTATGCGGTGAAAATGAAACTGGGTGAGTCGTAGTATTGGATCAACCATTTAGTACGGCATGCAGAGCTTGGTTATTTACCTACAGTAACCCGCAAACATCCATGGACTGTTATTTTCCAGATCAGTTGCTTGAATAGCATCGTTCAGATTTTGGGATTTCAACATACTTAAGAAACAAACGACTTACCTGGGACAGCCATACTGGCTAGACATGACAATACAAGCTGTGTTGCCATAATAGCCACAGTTTGGAGGCCTCTACACACACAGTACTTCCTCCTACAATATGGGTGACATTTCTGGTGACACAATATATCCCTCTGAAGGAGGTGTAGTCTATTCAGATGTCGATCTATATGTTTCCATAATGACGCTTCGATATGCTGTTAACGTATGACTGATTCAGTATTATATCAATATGTCGGAACCTAAACGAGGTAATTATTGAGACATACTCGAAGAGCTCTGTCGTGTTGCGATGTAAACACACTTTTAAACATGAATATTGTATACGAGCTATTTCATTTTCTGTTGAGGGAAGTAACTTTACTTAAGAAATGCATTTCGATCTGCTTTGAGCGACATGTATTTCTTTCCTAAGATGCCAAATTCAATACTTACCAATGATTGGATTCCACCAGTGATGATAGCCATCTGAGGCCCGTGCAAAGCCAGAAATGGGGTGCCACGGGGGAGTTTGCTGTACCGTTGGAGACTTAACTAGGCAATGACGACTGACGTGGGCCCAGTTTCACAAAGCTCTCGTAAGCCTAAGATCTCGTAACTTTTCTCATAGCATTCGTACCTCCTATACTGTAACATTGACTCAGGATAGTTGTAGCTCTACGAAAGCTTTGTGAAACGGGGTCATGCATCGTAACGTTGGTTACCAAGGGTACGTGTGATTACGAGGGGGGCAAACTAGAATGGCGCAGTGACGTAATGCGATAAGTGTACGTTATCTCCTGATAAGTACTGTGGGCGGCTTTGATCTCTTAGGAAACACACTCTTGTGCATATACTTGATATTGACTTGATTTATTTACCAGTTTTGGTTGGAACAGGTAATCTCTGATCCAATGATATCACGCAACATATTCTCGTTTTTGCAGGGATGTTCTTCAGTATGCTCACCTACACTCTCAGAGTGAGGCAGGAAATCGCCAGCACACAAAGTCAGTAACTTAACTGTTTCAGTAATCATGGTTTCTACAACAACACGAAGTCCTAAGCCTTTTAGAAGGGAATCAAATGTATCATGTATTACATTTGACTCATTTGACTCATGGGTTTGTGACAGAAGTAAATGAACAAAGTGTAAATGTAAGAGATAGATTTTCTTTGGGGCAACTAGGGCAAATGTACTGGCGCGCAATTGTATGTTTTGTGACGCTGTTTATTTGTGAAGGTCGTCGCCATGACACTATAGAGTATCCCCAACCTTTCTGACAGATATTTGTGGGATAACCTTAGCATAATGTGTACGGAATTAGCGGACTTTCACGCGCCTTGGGTGCTTCGAGTAAACAGCTGGCTGCTGAAGATTCAGGAACTCCAGTTCAGCATGCAGCTTCAGCAACTCTTTCAGAAGAAGAAAAACTCTGGGTTCCTGGTAAGATTCAGCACTAATGATGCCCGAGTGTTGTTCGATAGAGTGTACTGTTTGCAAATGTGAAGTATCAGGACTAAGACCAACACACGGACCCAGGGATCTGTGGGTTGATCAGTTTCTGTGATTACCTTGGTGATTTTGAGGATTTCAAGGGTGGACGGTTCAAAGTTATTAGTGGGGACTGAGGCATGGTAGAAAGATTTCTTTTCGGTTAGTTTTCAAATTGTATGCAAGTGTACACTGTACTTCTTTTGTAAACAGAAGCGACAAAACCCTTTTCACATTTATATGAAATCTCTGCTAAAAGCAGAGTCGCTTGTGACATCATGATTATACTTTTGTCTCAGGATTATTACAAAGCACGTTGTACTTGTACATATTGCATGCTCAACATATGTTATTAAGTGAAGGAATAACCAAATTCATTTAAGAAATACAGTTCGCTCTACCTTGAGCGGACACTTGCATCCGAGTGCTTTAACGTTAGATCAGGAATCGTCATTCAGAGAAACAACTTCTCCGATTGACAGTCGATGCGGAAACGCCATCTTTATTTTCAGGAAGGATTGCGTCCGGTTACCAAGGATACGTTTGATTACGAGGGGGCAGACTAGAACGGCGCATTTAATCTTTCACCGAAGTATCTTAGAAACATTGGTAAAGCTTTTCCAGGCTTAATAAATGCACTCTTGTGCATGTACTTGTATTAAAATACCCCAATTTGAAATGTTTATTAGTTTTGGTGGCAAGAGGTAATTCTGTTCAAATGATATCCCCCAATATAATGTCGTTGCATGTCTGTGTGGTGAGCGACAACAGCCCAGATGTGTTTATAACCAACGACTAAGTGGATGGTACTTGGAAAGTTGCAGGAATTGAAATGAAACTGTCCAGAGAGACGCTATATGGAAATCACTCACTCAAAACAGTTCATAGACAGATTAACCAGGGGACCATGTATTCAAGCAGTGTCAGTTAAATCAAAATCTATGCCTTAGTATATACATCCTGCTGAAGAGGTCTCTGAGCATTGCATGTGTACGTTAATGTTAAAAACATCACCTCGGTGACTTTATTATATGAACACCAGGATTGTATATACAGAGTGGAAGGCGGCTAATGTTTGGTACTTCAGCCATTGGTCCGCTGATAAATTCGCTGATGATATTATATATGTATTTCTGATTTCTAAGGAAATAGGGAATGCGTACATGTTAGAGTCAATTTTGTATGATAGACTACGAAAGAGAAGTGAAAGCATACTGGATTTACACTGCTCCTGTATGAAGAGCTGGAATCGTTTCTTATCGATTTTGAAAAGAACTTTGACTCTGTTAGAAAGGGATTTCAGCCCTCTAAGACCCGATTAATTCTGTCGCAGAGTCAATCTAACATTTGTGACCTGTATAATCCTATCGACCGCACCCTGGTGACTAAATTTTTATTCCTTGAGGAAATTGATATTGAACTGATAGAACATCTTAGATCGATATTTAGTTGTTATTACACAATGTAGCTGCTTTGTGTGACCACATTTTAACAGTAATTGTCAGTTGTTAGGTATGTATTACTATATAATGTAAGCATTAATTTGGAAGGTATTGTGTTTTATTGCTATTAGAGTTGGTGCAATCATGAATCTTTAAGAACAGTTATTGACTAATCCAAAGTGCTATAGAAATTTCAAGAAGTTATTCAGACTATGCAAGTGATAAGATCTTCTCATCTTCCCTATCAGTGGCACCCGTCATAAATATGCAAAGGTTATTTACATGTTCAACTAAACGAATTTGGAAGTTATGGTACAAGTCATGGTGCAGTCTTGAATTTTGTAACCTTAATCAAACAATTTCTGAGAAAGGGTTTTATGACGCTATTTGAAATCTGTGTTAGTGCACGCTCAACTATGACTCAGAAGTCGTGAAGTGTAAGCACCAAACGTTGAAGCTATGGTAATAATGCTCTCCGTGGAGGGAAATTTGACCTCTAGAAAGTCCGTATCATCGCTCTTGTTACCCAACCTTTCGGAGAGTTTCTCCTAATCAGTTACTCCTAATCTTTTTTTATTTATAATGTTTTTATTGTTCCCAAGGGTACATCATTAAAACACCAATTCACGTTTTTAGAGTTTGTTAGGTAGAGTTAAAAAATGCACAAAAATTCACATTTTCACATCAAAATAACGTACCGAATATAGAGTCTATTTTCATTGCTAAGTTAGGAATATAGATCTCCAATTTGTGTCATGACTTTGGAGGCTATTATTTTTAATTGCAATGAACTTTTCCACATTGAAAATTTCTCTCAAAACAAACAGGAACCTTTGAAGTTTTGGAGTGTGTTGGTTAATCCCACATAAATGGATATATTTTGGGGCATTTAGGATAATATGGTTAAATAATCTATCTGTGTATAATGTTCCAAACCAAACAAGATATTTTGTTATTTTAGTTGTGTTCTCAATGTGATTATTCATGCAAACTTCAAGTTCATTCCCAATAAACATGACAAATATTCTCATTCAGCTCATTACAAAAACAGCAAACAGTATTGTCAACAAATTTCATTTTAAATAGTTCATTTTTAGTATAGATAATACCATGTAAAAACTTGTATTGGAAATCAAGTAGTTTGACATCTTTCAAACCATTTCTATAAGTCGTAAAATTCTGATTCAAACCAAAAGTAACATTAGCGAAAGATTCTTGCCATTTAAGACACATTTTAGGTAAATCTTCATCGGAAATCATGGCGTCATAAAAAATTCTAGAGCCTTTGCATTATTTCAATAAAGTCAAATGACACTCACAAGTCAAAACATTGATTACACAACAGTCTCGTTTCCTGTTGACTGGGTTCCGTCCTATTGCACAATTTAGTACAATAACCAGTCCAGAATTTTGAGACCAATTCATTTAACTGAATACATAAATATTAATCAGTATTATTTGATACATTTTAGCACTTGTATATTGCAACACTACGCTCCTTCTAATCCATACAAACACGTCGTGCAGCGTGCTCTGTTGTACAGCGAGCACTGACAAAAAGAAACCTGGAAATCGTGGAAATCTCAAAACGAGGCTCTGCCGTAGAAACGTTTTGCTATCTGGTACGGACTTGATATTATATCAATCACATTGTGCGTTACAGAACTACACTGAATAAGCGCGAAGAATACATAACAGGTGTAACCAGTGAGCCAGATGCATCGTGAATCATTTTACGACCTCATCAAACTGGTACAGTCTGTGACGTCTTTGTTAAGGTCATGCTGCCTTCACCTCGCCATAAAAAAATAGAAATACGAAGTTATTAAAGTTTGAAAGTAAAATTCATTTGTAAATACCATTTTCTTATGAAACAAGGAATTGGAATTCAGTGTAACCATAGTTGTGTGAGATGTCTATGTTCTCTTTCACACGAGAAAATTCGGATCGGCTGAAAAGTAGGTCATTGTCTGAATAGCTTAATGAGACTCATGTTTCGGTTTGTTATGAGTAAATATAAACTTGGGATGTTTCTAGAGTGTCTAATAGTATATTTCCAAGAATCAGGTAGTATATTCAAAACATGCAAATAGTCCAGGTATGTGCCTTTAATGCCATACATTTCCTTCAACTCGTCAAAGGATAAAAAACCAGTTTTGTCATACAGGTCCTTAATTGTAAGAATGCCTTTACTTGCCCAGTTTTTATTGTAATGTTTTGGGTTTTTATAATTATGGTTAAACCATAGTGGTTGGGCTAGGATTTCATAAACATCACCAGAATTCACGTGACTTTTTTCGCAATATTTGTTCCATACTTTCAAAACATCCCTCCAATAAGGGTTATCGATGTGAGTTACTTGATCAACATTTGCACCAGATTTGAAAATGACATCAAAAGGAATATTACAGGGATTTTCAACTGTTGTTTTTCTACAATATGATCTCAGGGTAGCTAGTTTCAAAGCTTCATAAAATGTTACTGTGTC